TCTAACGATGCCTAAGACACCTGCGCTTGCGAAAGATTGCCACGGAGAGATGGGCGTATCTTGATAAGGATACTTTCACTATTAGGTCGCAACATGCATTTTCGAACTCTGAAGTTTCACACGTCGTAAGATCACTGGCGCCAACGACGGTCAGCGTCTCCGTCGAATAAGGTCAACCGCGATATTATACGTTGATTAATGCTCCGGTCAATCTCGAGGAATGCGAAGCTAGATCACGGCTTGGTCAATATCCATCTATTCGTGACGATAAACACGAGTATCGTTTATTCGCCTCGGGATACGTCAAAACAAATTACTCGAACATCGTGCAAGAATCTTATTGTCGATTCTATCTTAGAAATGAACTTCCGAGAGAATCTAAAGATTTGCAAATTTTTCGAGGAAAGGAATTATAATTTGGAGAAAGAATTTTGAAGATATCATTAGTTCAAAAATTTACAAAATGATCATTTTTATAATTTTCCACCCAAAAACTAATTTATAAAAAAAAATCTATAAATAAACTTGAACAATTGCATTAAAAAGTGGATTGCAATTTATCTAAAAAGTTACGTTTCGGATTCGTTGTCAATTGTAAAATACATTTATTCGCTACAATAAACACGAGTATCGTTTATTCGCCTCGGGATACGTCAAAACAAGTTACTCGAACATCGTGCAAGAATCATATTGTCGATTCTATTTTAGAAATGACTTCCGAGGGAATCTAAGGATTTGCAAATTTTTCAAGAAAAGGAATTATACCTAATTTGAAGAAAGAGTTTTGAAGATATCACTAGTTCAAAATTTACGAAATAATCATTTTTATAATTTTCCACCCAAAAAACAATTTATAAAAAAAATCTATAAATAAACTTGAACAATTGCATTAAAAAGTGGATTGCAATTTATCTAAAAAGTTACATTTCAGATTCATTGTCAGTTGTAAAATACATCTATTCGTTACGATAAACACGAGTATCGTTTATTCGCCTAGAGATACGTCAAAACAAGTTACTCGAACATCGTGCAAGAATCATATTGTCGATTCTATCTTAGAAATGACTTCCGAGGGAATCTAAAGATTTGCAAATTTTTCGAGGAAAAGAATTATATCTAATTTGGAGAAAGAATTTTGAAGATATCATTTTTATAATTTTTCACCCAAAAGATAAATTTATAAAAAAAAAATCTATAAATAAACTTGAACAATTGCATTAAAAAGTGGATTGCAATTTATCTAAAGAGTTACGTTTCGGATTCGTTGGCAGTTGTAAAATACATCCGTCGTAACGTAGTAAATTACACGATACATGTACACGCGTTAAAATATAATGTCGCATAAATTACATCGCTAAACGTACGCGCGCAGGAGGACGAATGTGAAACGTGCAACCAAGTGATTAAGAGAGAGAGAGAGGGGGGGAGCGTCTCTCACGCGCGCGGGAGGACAATGGCGAAACTCGAGTGACAAAGTAAGCGCCATAACTGTCGACCTTGCTCCTCGACGGCGCCTAAAAGCAGATTAAGTTCCCGAAAGTGCGCTTATATAAGTTCCCGCTTGTATTCGAGACGGATGAGACGGATTCACGCAAAAACGCACAGCGGGACATTTCGCCAAACGGTGACGAAAGTAACGGAATTCCGCGCGCGTGTTCGTAAATTAAAATTCGCGATTCGAGAGTTTAATCTTGATCGATCGAGGCGCGAAGCGAGCTCTCGGGGGCACACGCTAAAGAGGAGAAAAAAAAGAGAGGAGAAAGAGAAGGTTGAATATATCAGGCCCATGAATAAAAAGAGGGGAAAAAAAGAGAGAGAGGCTGTGCTGTCTCTTCTTTTTTTTCACGAATATCTCGCGTAATATCTCAATATGAGCTAAAAATATACGAGATGGAAATTGATGAAGCGAACTTCGATGTGATGGTTCAATTTAATTTACGCACGAACTCGGAATGTTACACGTATGAATTTCAATTGGGATTTTTGAGGATTTTTGAGGATTTTCAAAAACAGACGGGGATATTTTTCGAGAGATGAATAAAAAATATATCGTGAATAAGTGTGTCATATCGCGCGACGTTATAAATTGCATAAACTTAGCCTGAATGAATAAGATACATTTTTATAAAATTTTCACATGGTATGAAAATTATTTTAAATACAAAATCCTATTTAAAATGGTCAAATTATGCATTTCGCGCGTTAATATTACATTACACATATGTTTAAAAGTTGCACAAAATCCGCAAATGTTATGTATAAAAATAACTTTACCGTCTCAGGATCCAGCATCTTAATTCATTTTTCAGATAAGATCATCGAGAATTTAACGGCGTGACCATTTTTTTCTCCAGTTATCTATAAAATTAAATCCGGATCGCAAAACTCGATTTTTTTACGATACCGATCAGATTTACGATCGCCCCGATGCAACACTCCGTTTTTATTTCCGTAGCAATATAAATGACGCGAGACACCGGACAGTTACATTGTACGGTATTTAAACGCGCGATCATATCAAGTTTCAACAACCCAGTTCGCGAATCATCGAAATAAATCCAGCGTAAAACCGCGAAAGCGAGTAAACTACACAGTTTTAAAAAATTATGCGTCCATATGTTAAAATTTTCTTGTGTTATCACGTTTTAATTAGTACTTTAATGTAAAATTAACATACAACATACTAATATGTTATTATTTTTTATAACGTTTTCATGTGTTACATTTATGTCAACTTTATAACTTAACACTTTGTATATATCTCTTGGAAATGGAATATTATTTTGAGTATTTTTAACATAATCATTTTAAATAATCAGCAGTCTCAAAGTCAATTTAACGTTCTAAGAAAAGTTAAAATAAATTTTGACATAATCCTGAACTTTGACATACCAAATAATCAAATTTACTAAAATCAAATGTTTCTATTACAAATAATTTAAGTCAAAATAATTACTATCATATGTTAATGTTCTACAACAATTCTTACGAATTATTGTAACTATTTTTTCATGTAATTTTTAATTAATTTGTATGTTATTTTTACATTACACTTAAAACACAATAAAAAAATAAATGTAAAGTATTGTAATAATTATTTAACATTTTTAGTTTGTCAAGTAACATACGACGAATGAGTTATTTTAACTGAAAATTTAGAGTGGACTTTCTGGGACATGTGAAAAATCTTATAATTAACATTTTATTTTTTACTGTGTGAATTTTGCGCTTGCGCCTTTCCCACATTTTTTTATCAATAACTATTATATCAATTAATTACTAATAATTATTAATAACTATTATAATTGTTATACTATAATAACTAGTGAGAAGAAAGCCGTCTGATAAAAAATACGCGTTGTAGACATTTGTTCGATATTAATCTGAGAGCCGAATTCGCATCGCTAATTACGACAATCTTGTCGCGAAAATTCAAGCGAGATATATCACCGAGAGAACTTTAATTACGCTTGATCAATCGCGTATGTAATCACGTATTATTGCCGTCGTAAAGTCGCTTAAGTAATTGCAGCTGTCAAGTACGAATGTTTTCAAAAACTTTGACCGTTCCAACTGAGCGTTCGATATCGACAATTTTTGACTGATAAAACCTTGAATCTTCGTTGTACGAGAATCTTAAAATCTTGCTTAAAATCTACGACCTTGATTTTAACGAGACTCGTCAAGTACGAAAAGTGGCTCTTTCCCTCGAAAACATTTCCATAGAGAGAAGATTATTCTTATTTATTCTTCACGTTTCTAATATAGTTATGCTAATCACGTACGATACGAAATATATAACGCAATGTAACAGGAATATTCCTAGTTGCTGCAACCGGTTCTAAAATTTTTAAATTTCGAGGAAGCGAGAAATGTATCGCCGCTCAACACTTGACAAACGCCGATCAGGAAAATCGTCCGATAACACACTTATCACCACCGACGGAATGCGCTGAACCACGACTAGTCGCGTTAAATAATGACAAGTAACCGCGCGTAATAAAAAAAAACGCGCGAATCGAGACGAGAAATCCAATCTTCTTATCGCGCGATCGCGGAATTTCTCGTTTTGCACAGTCGGTGACACGAGAACTGATGAAGTTTCGCAGAAAACTGATTACAAATTACTTATGCATGAATTCACATCTCGCCTATCTCCTTACGAGGACATGTCTATTCAACATCACGCACGCGATAATGTTTGACATGTTACGAGACAAGTTAAACTTTTCAACCGAACTTTGAAAATATTCCACCTAGTTTGATATCTCTGACAAGTTTGATTTATCTTCTAATATTAATAGACTATAATAATATTCTATGAATAAAAATATTTTTGGCTCCCTTTTTTTATTTTATATCAAATAATTTTCAATACATTATATATATGCATTTAAATAATTATTTCGTGAATTTTTAATTTGAGAGAAAAAAGATTTTAAAAAATTTTAAGTTTGATGAATTCCATTGAATTGAATAAAATCTTTGCTAGTTATTCGCTTATGGATCAACACTACGCGAAATACGATATGCAAAAATGTTGAGGGTACAGGGTGTTTCTTAATAAGTTCGACAAATTTTAGGAGATGATTCTTTGCCGAAAATTAAAGAGCGTTCTTTACATAAACGTATACTCCTACATCCTTCCTTGTGTGGAGTTATACTTCTCCAAAAATGGGGATAAAAATTAGATTTTTATTTTTTTCTCAAATTTGGAACAAGTTAAAGAAATGAAATTAGGATATTTTCTAAAAAGTTATTTATTAATATTTTTTTCAGCCTCCCTTATTGTTATAAGGGGATGAAATTAGCAAATCCTATGCAATTTTTTATTACAACTTTTTTAATGTTTATATAAAAATAATTAATTTTCCCCCCTTAATTTTCAACAAGGAATTATCTCCAAAAATTTTTTGCACTTATTAAGAAATACCCTATATGCATATATACATGTACACTATATATATACACTATATATTATAAATATATTCAACGCTTACCGGTCGATGTATCATCCGCTTCTCTTGAATGCTGCTGGCTTGCCCTTCGTGCTATCCAAGATGATCGTCATTGTTCGCAATCACGCACACAACACTGACAAGCAATCCGTCAATAACGATCGCCCGTTACTTTATACGGCACTCCCGAACATTGTGACAGACACGCACTTGTGGACTCGCGAGAGTAAATGACACGAGATACACGACGCCGGTTTATCGGAATGAAAATCGCTCGGCAAGCGCCGGTAGAAAATCCGTTTACCCAAAATGGCGGACGTCGAAGGACACTCGAGATCACTTGTCACGATGAAAATTACTCGATCCTCTTGACACTCGCGAGCGAATAACACTGAACGCACGTTATAAGTAACGTCACCGTCGTATCAACGCAACGTCAGATATTCCGATATGATTTTCAATAATATTTCAAACTCACATGAAAATATTTGACTACATTCTCCCGACAGTAACGGTTACGTATAATGCGCATTACACATACGTGTGCGTAGGTTAACGCCGATTACGAAGTCGATAGACCTCGTGCGATCCGATTGTTTCACTCGAAGGATCGCCCGTTATTTACACGACACTCCCGACACTTATTCGCGCACAAAATTCGCAATCGACGTGCAAACGATGAGAAAAATCGCGGAGCCGTCGTGACTCGACGCGAGTAACGTGATACGACTGAAGATGCCCGCGAGTGATCCCCGATCACGTGACCTCCGAATGTTCCCCGCGACGCACAAGCCACAAAGGCGAAAACTCAATCTCGTTAAATACTACGCGTTTTAAAAATATTAATTCCGCGAGGTATTACATGTACTTGTATGTTCTCCGATATAAATGTATTTGTTTATCTATTGCGGAAGCGTAGGAAGTTTATATAATTATCGAATCAGGTAACGCACTTTATGTATCCGTAATGTAATTAATAGTTTGTTATTAGTATATTTTTCCTACTTTTAATTATATTCTTCCTATTTTTGACTTGAAATATATTCTTTCTATTTTTAACCTGAAACTATGCAAATTTCAAATAAATCGATGTATATCTATTCGCGAAATAATAAAATAAATAATAAATAAATAAATAATTAAATAAAAATAAATATAATAAAACAAGTAAAAATAAATAATTAAATAAAAAAGTTGATGAAATGCGAATAACGATCTCGATTATTTCGTTTCGAGTAAACGCGATGCGAGAAAACAATGCGATCTTGTAGAGAGTAATAAAATTGAGACGAGTCCAATTAAAATAGTACGACGAAAGAAATTCGACGACGCAACGATACTATCGCGACGCTAGACTCGGTTAGACTGACGCGAAATTAGGCTACGTAGTGTCCTTGTATTGTATGTACATTGTTTATGTGTGTGTGTATGAGTGTGAGTACGTTTTGCCTGGAGGCTTCCAGGAACGCCGAAACGTCATGCTCGCCTTGAGCTATTGTTTACATCGAGTTACCCCCTAACCGCGGCGCTTTTTCTGTGTCAATGTGTATGTGTATATGTGTCTCGCGATCACTGCCTCGTTATCTTCTCAGTTTACTTTTACACACTCACGTGATAAGACGTTACGCGGATTGAACGCGTAATACGAGCAATAAGGATGGAATGTAATCTCTTCCTGAAGAAAACGGCCATCTAGTACGAAGAGGAGGATTAAAGGAATCGCATTCGTTATCGAAAAGGTATTAACCTTTTATGTTGTAAAGGTATTATATATGTTTTACGACGAATATAATACCGTTCTCTTTCGATTCTTCGAAGAATTTTAATCGAAGTTGCATTCGTGCTATCTCTTTTTTTCTCTCTTTCTATATTGCGTCCGTTGTTTTCTCGTTTATTCGTTCTCTTCATTCTACTCTTTTTCTTTTACGTATATATGTATGTGTGAAAAATATTGTGAAATATTTTTTCTAAGAAAACAATTTTTAATTTTTTTCAATGCAGTGATAATTTTTTCGATTTTAAGAATGTTTCCATTTTAAAGGGATAAATTTTACTTTAAAATGTATATGGTGTGTATATACATGGTGTGTATATACATATACACATACTTTAAATTAAAACTTATCCCTTTATGGAGACATTCTTGTATAATGATACAGTAAAATTGTGTACTCATTGAATTTAATCGAGATGTGATATTTTATTACTTGTCTGAAAATTAATATTATTATTATTATTTAAATACATTGAGAAGTATCATAAGGACAAATAAATAAGTCAAAGTATAAAAATTCCAAAGAAACATTTCTCGAAGAAAAAATACGTTGCAAAATTATATCGTTATAAATTATAAGATTGTAGACAATATAATGCTAAACGTATTATTACTTGAAATATTTAACAAGGACTATTGCTCGTTCTCTAAAACCGGAAATGATAACGGACCAAAGACGACCGACTTGCAGTAACAAGTAGGTTTATGCGACTCTTTATATCATTCGCATATATTTCATCGTAATATGATTGCTGGTTAATAAAATTCCTCCTTTATCTGCGAAATAAAATGCCGATCGTACTTTAATGTTATTGAAGATTTAATATTTCTTAATACGAAACTTTATGATATTCTTCGATGTGTTAACTGTGGTGATATCAGAACTTTATAATTTCATTTTAACTCGCTCCAAATCGAGCGAGTTACAAAATTCAATTTATTCTAGAAATTAAGAAATCTATACAAAAAATAAACTTGTCAGGTTAAATAGATATCGGAATTCTGATTCTCGATTTAATTGTATATTTATCTCACACACACAAATAATTCGAGTTTTTATAATTTAATTAAAAATAACATTTTTTCCTGATAATTCTTTTTATTTTAAGATACATAAAATTTTTTTATCCTGAAAGTGTTTTTTTATGTAAAAATAACTTTTAAGAAATGTAAATTAATTAATTAACGGAAAACGTCCTGTTTCTAAAATTATGATCATTGTTGAGAAATTTTTTCATTTATTGATTAAACCATTTTACTTCAATTCGAAAAAAAATAAAAAAGTTTTACGACAGTTTTTTCAAAAAATTGGTTGGCGTCGAAAAGTACAGCTTCCTGCGGAATTCCACGTCGGCGACGAGCGAATTCAATTGGCGTTTACACCGTGCTTACGCGCTACTTTAATCCAATTAAATCTGACAAGACGGCGCGACAAGAACGTTGGCGGACCGGTAGAGCCAGACACTCTTACGCGACATTACGATATCCTTCCTCTTTCTTTTTCCTCCAACCTTTTTCGTCCAACATTCCGCGGATCTAATACCTTGTTCTTGGTTCGCAAGGATGTGTATATATGTGTATGTGTATTAGTATGTGTCGTCGTTGGTTTATACGCGGGTTTAGCTAAAGAAACGGATTTGCTCGTAAAATCGAGAGCCACAATCGGTCGGTGAAACACACCGATAAATTATCGGCCAGTGAATTTATTCGTGAATTAAAGCCACCGCGATGGCGATTATTCATTAATAGAGCCAACACTGGCCATACGTGATAACTCGGTCGCACATTGCATCGATTATTTTACGGCGTGTCTCTTGCGCAATATTGCAGACAGGTTGCAGGCGGTCGAGGCTGACTGAAAAGACTTGGGATACTCGAAAATGATAGTTGAATATTAACGTTATTTATAAAATAGTTATCTATGGCAAATTTTTATTTAAAAAATCAACGTCAACTTTGTCAACATATTATCGTTTCAGATAATTTTATATCTTTTAAGTTTGTAATACCTTGTGTGTAATAATGCGACGACTGATCTGCGATCGCAATCGGTTTTTCACTCCGCATGCACGATGATTACAAGAAAACGAGCTTAACCCGTAATTACCGCCGAATAACGTAATAGCCATGTGGCTGTTTTTGGTGTTTTCTGCGTCCGGCGTGAATAACTGGTGCAATTACTAAGTGCACGAAAGGTTGCATTAACCTTCTTGACCCATCGCGATCTTTCAACCTCGCAGAGGTCGGCCGATCGAGATCATGCTTATTACTTTTGAACGCCAATGTACGGTCTGTTGCAAAAATTACCGTTCATTGCGATCGCCGCATACTAAATATATCACAAACTTCTGATAAATAAAACACGTATCATTATTAATTATCAAAAAAAAATCCTGATATTAAATGTTAAAAGAAGGTAGAAAGTTACTTTTTAACAAACTGGCTGAAATGTTTATTTACTGTTCATTAAAAACCGTCTTCACGTATATCTGTAAATTAATACGAGCATAATTTCACGCTCATTATAATATTTTATAACAGCGTCAGAAATTCAAAGGAACACGAAAACGATATTTTCTCGACAAAGATAACAGATATTTTCTCTTCATTGTCTTCATAATTATCGTTCTTTGTACAAAGTCCGTTAGCTTAAAGTCGTGCGAAAGCGCTGTCCTTCTTTCTCTTTTTTTCTCGCGCGTTTTGCGACCAACGACGGACGATATATTTTACGCGCCTCAAACATTAATCAGAGCTGTATTTTTGCGTGGCCGCGATTTTCAGGAGGTGGAAATTTCTTTCTCTTCCTCTCCTCCTCCTCTGTGTCCTACGTAAGAAGAAATCTCGAAGAAAGAAACTTTGGTCGGACGTATCTCGCGAGGGCGCGACATTAATCAACGCGGTTCAACATTGTATCATTCTTTTCTACAGTACGGTACTTTCGAGCTGGACGAAGCTTTTTGCGCGTCCATCGTGTCCAGCGTGTCCATAAAGGGAAAGAAGAGGAAACTGTGGCGCGTTATCCTTTGCGAAATTCAATGGGCGCGATATATATACACAGTAAAAAATAAAATGTTAATTATAACATTTTTCGCATGTCCCAGAAAGTCCACTCTAAATTTTAAGTTAAAATAATTCGTCGTATGTAACTTATTGACAAACTAAAAATGTTAAATAATTGACACAATACTTTACATTTATTTTTTTGTGTGTTTTAAGTGTAATGTAAAAATAACATGCAAATTAATTAAAAATTACACGAAAAAATAGTTACAACAACTCGTAAGAATTGTTGTAGGACCTTAACATATAATAGTAATTATTTTGACTTCAATTATCTGTAATAGAAACATTTGCTTTTAATAAACTTTTTTTATTTTGTATGTCAAAGTTCAGAATTATTTCAAGACTTATTTTAACTTTTCTTAGAACGTTAAACTGACTTTGAGACATGTTGATTATTTAAAATGATTGTGTTAAAAATACTCAAAATAATATTCCATTTCCAAGAGACATATATAAAGTATTAAGTTATAAAGTTGACAAAAATGTAACACATGAAAACGTTATAAAAATAATAGCATATCAATTGTATGTTAATTTTACATTAAAGTAGTAATCAAAATGTGATAACACAAGAAAATTTGAACATATGGACGCA